TACCCGCCATAATTTTTTTTTTTTTTTACAATTCAAAAAGGGGGGGGGAAATTTATATCGTTCAATAAATATAAAATTGATTAATTTATTATTATTATTATTTTTTTTTTTCGATTTTTAATTAATGACGATAGAAGATAAAATAAATAAAAAATCTTGCGTTCGTACTTTTGTGTGTGCGTGCGTGTGCGTGTATTTTATTAAATGTTTTTTTTTTTTTTGATGTTTTGCGAAAAACCGGAAATTAATTTTTTTTTTTTTAAATTTATTTAATGTGGATACGGTTTGTAAATATTCATTTTTTTTTTTTTTCATTCTCGAGTGATACAATCGGTAAAAATAATAAATACATTTAATATATTATGGTTTTTTTTTTGTGGTAAAAAGCGACGGTGGTAGAAAACATAAAAAAAAAGGAAACTTACGTATACACACGCACGCACGCACGCACGCACACAAACACACATTCATACACAGACAAACGATGCCGGAAGACATTATTAATAGAAAATTGCAAAACGTAATTTTTTTTTTTTTTTTTAGCAAGTCAAAATATATATAAAATATAAACAAAAAAAAAAAGAGACATAAACAATAGAAATCTAAAATAAAATGCTGAAATGAAAATATCTGAACATGCTCAACCAACCGGAAGTGCCGCAATGTCATTGGTTAATGCCGGGCTAACAATCACACAGCCTCTCCTTCATTCATTCATTCATTCTTCTTGTTTAGCTATTTCCGTTTGCGACCGGTTTTTGACTTCCGTTAACTTTTGGTATTTCTCTTTTTAAAATTCTCTAACCCCTTCCCCCTACCCCTTACCCCTCCTCCGGTTTTTTTTTCTATTCTCTTACCGAACAAAATCCATTGTTGATTTCTTTTTTTTTATTTCTGTTTTTACTATCATCATTATTATTATTATTGTTTTTTTATTTTTATTCGGGGCGCGCAAAATTTTTCTTCTTGAAAATTAAAAACATAAGCCTAAAAATTTAAAAAAAAAAAATTTTCATCACTATAACAAACTTGCCACGTTTTTTTTTTTCGGTGAGCTGAACAAAAACAATACCTCCCCCCACATCTCATCTCGTCCCCCACGGACAAAAAAAAAAGAAAAAAAAATTAAATTAAAGTTAATTTTTTTATTTTAATGAAGGCGTAATTCATAATAATTAAAATGAATAAAATAAAAGAGAGAAAGAGAAAGAGAGAGAAAAGGAAGACGATCCAAAGAAGTTTTCGGTATGAAAAAAAAAAGAAAAAAAAGAAAAAGAAAAAAAGAGGAGGAGCAGAAGAAAAAAAAAGATAGAAGAGAAAGGGTGGTAAAGTAGAATAGAAAAAAATAAAAAGATGAGGAAAAAAAAGGAGGGGAGGGGGATGGTAAAAAAAGAAGGAAGTCTTAAAAAATCCTTTCTTGCTCACAGGGGTTTAATGAACAAGAAGTTAGAACGGAAAACTCTTAAGACGGAAACTTTTCTTTTTTTTTTCCAGCAAAAGGAAAATAAAAAATAAAAAAAAATGAAAAAAAATATTATTATTTAAAATAAAGATGGTGAGGGAGGATTTTACAATATGGGAGGCGTTTGAAACTGATAACAGTCGTTGTGGAAATATTAGGGGTTGAATTTTTCGTTGGGGAGGTTTCAAATTTTAAATATATATATTTATACGTATACGTACAAAGATATAGGAATGAGGAAGGAAGGGTGGGGGGAGAAAATACGATGGGGACGTTTTGACAAAGTTTAAAAAAAAAAAATAAAATTTTTTTTCTTTTCTTTTCCTTTTCTTTCGCGATAAAAACTTATTTCCAACCCTCTTCCCCTCCCACCTCGAAAACCCTTTCCGAACAACAAAAAGAAAAAAATTTTCTCGAAAAAAAAAAAACTTCACTAAATTAAGAAAACATTAATTAAAAATTAATTTTATCTTCTTTCATTTTACAAGTGAAATTCAATTTTTTTTTTTTTAACCATCGAATTTTCATTAATTTAAAAAAAAAAAAAAATTAAATTTAAATTTAAATTGTAACCTTTCATAATAATGATAATAATGATAATAATAATAATAATAATTTTTATAAGGTTTAAATACCCTTTTAAGTGACCAGTTTGTAATTTTTAGTTGTTTTACCATAAGCGAATTAAAAAAAGCAACAACCTTAAGGGAGATTATATAAAATAATAAATGTAATAGAACGTTCTCGAAACTAAAGTAAAAAAAATTATTATTATTATTATTTACCTGCGTAAAAATTAATCAATTTTTTTATTTTTTAAAAAAAAAAAAGTAATGATAATAATAATAATAATAAAACGAAAAATAAATTAAATCGGAGAGATTAATTCGAAAAAAAAAAAGAAAAAAGTTTACATAAAGATGAATCGAATACATAAAAAGGTAAATCAAAACGATATGACATAATGGAAGTAGATGGGAAGTGTGGAGAAAGTATGGAGGGGAGGGGGAAAGGCGGGAAAAAAAGGAAGGTTAGGCAAATAGTAAAAGAGGAAGGGAAAGGCAATACTGAAATATCAAAGATCTCCGAAACTAAACCGAGCTAGGGAATACTTTGAAAAATATACGAGCAAAATATGTAAATTGAAAACAATTAGTTACGGTATTATCCGGAAGCTAAGACTGACGTTCTGGATTTGTTGCGGTTCATTCATCGGGGGGGAGAGGAGAAGAGAGAGTGCGGGAAGGAGGAGGATGAGGAAGTAGGAAGAGGAAAAAGGGAGGAAGAGAAAAAGAGAAAAGTGAGTAAAAAGGAACAAAATATAGGAGGAGAAACAACGGAGGAGAGTGGATGGTGGTAGGGAGAAAGAGAGGAAAAATTTTCAATGGAACGAACCTTTTGTTAGAAGCTGCTCCCGCTTCTGCTCCTGCTCCTGATACTGTTGTTCGGGGACAAAAAAAAAAAAAAGATTTTTTACGGTACCACCGTTTTGTACTATTTAAACCACTCTTGAATGAGCAAATTTTTATTTTTTTTCTTTAATTATTTAATTAACCGGAAGTTGTTGTTGTTTTTTAACTTCGGCCACAAAAAAAAATGTTTCTTTTAAAATTTTTGGGATTATTTTTAATTACAAAAAAAAAAAAAATGCAAAAACAAAACGGTAAAGAATAATAAATGGTGGTAGTAGTGGTAGTAGTTGTAGTGAGAGGGTTAATATGACCGTAAGGGATGATCTGATTGCCTTTCAACGAGTTGTTTATTTATGACCGTTAATGTGGGAACCGGTGAATCCTTGTTTCCCTGTATTACAACACCAATTACGACCCTTTAAAACTAATTCTCTTTTCATTAACTCTCGATTTACATTCTTGAATAATATATTTTATGTAAAAATTTTCCTTTTGTCTTTTCATTTTATTTATTTTTTAATAATTTACATTATTTTATTAAATAAATAAACAAAAAACAAAAAATTAAATTAATAATAAAAGGATAAACGTTAGAAAAAAAATTTTTTTTACTCCAACCCGAAAAATAAAATCTTAAAAATCATTTTTTTAAAATTTTAATACGATAAAATTAATTCTTTTTATACCTACCCTTAATAAACTACCCTTATCTATCTCCCCTTTTATCGTTTTACTTTAAATGTTTATCATCATTTGATTTTTAAACGTTAAACAAAAATAATAATAATAATCAAAATTTATAATTTTAAAATTAAAAAAAATTTTTCCGCGCCATGTTAAAAAAAATAAATAAATGCGGGATGAATATATATTATCTCTTTCTAAAAAAAAACGCGTAAATATATAAATGGCAACAAGTCGATAATGATATTTAATTTTTAAAATTTCCAATACATTCGTCACGGCAACAATACGATTTTTATTTAAAAAAATAAAATTAAAATTAAAAAAATCTGTCGTCGGGGTTTTTCTTTTCTTTTCTTTAACGATAATAATAAATATTAAAATATTTTACAAAACAAAAACAAAAAAAAAAGGAAAGAGAAAGAGAAAAGAAGAGAAAAGAGAAAGAGAAAGAAGAGAAAGAAAGGATAACAAAAAAAACAAAAAACAAAACGTCGTCGAAACCTCTTTTTTTTTTTTTAAATTAAATAAAATTAAGGGTTTTATATTAAATTTAAATGTTTAAATTAAATGGTGTAGAAAGAACCGATAGCTACCGAATGTTTCTCAATGAGATTTTCATTGTTTCCTCAGACTGATATAACAGATGGCCTTTTATCAATTTTAATTTTTTATCCTTGAAAGATTTCTTTATGTTCTATAATGATTCTCCTTCATTCAATTACATGTATTATTTTTAATTATTACTAAAAAAAAAAAACAAACAATGGTTGTAATAGTAATAATAATAATAATAATAAATGGTGATTAAGTTTTTAAAACAATAAAACAAAACAAAAAAAAATGTTTCCCGATCGATTTTTTTCTTTCTGAATTCGAAAGGATTAACATCAATTCCCCCCCCCCCCGTAGTAATTTTAGGTAAAAAAAAAAAAAATTCTAAAAAATTAAAACTACAAAGCAAGCAAAATAAAACAAAATGGCTACCGAATTTTATTATATTTATTAAAATGCGGGTACAATTTTTTTTTAAAAAATATTTATACGGAAAATAAGAAATGTTTCATTTAATAGAAGTTTTAATAAATTTTATTTGTGTAATAATTAATCATCATCATCATTATCATTATCATTATTAATTTTTCTTTATGCTAATAATAATAAAAAAAAGAAAATTTATTATTATTACAATTTGAATTTCCCGGTAGTAAAAAAAATTACGATTGGTTGGTTGGTTTTTTTGTTTATAAATAAATAATAAAACATAATTTTTTATTTATTTATTAATGTTGTTGTTATCTAAAATCTAAAATGATAAGAATATTAGACAACTAATTTAGTTTTTTTATTCATTTTTTTTAAATTTTTAGACTAACATAAACGCTAACAAGAAAAACAATTATTTACACGGGTTAATAAATACAAAAAAAAAAAAAAAGAAATCACGGGTTATAATCTCCGGATATTCTAGAATTATCCACGGTTTTCCCTTTAATCATTTTATAATTCGATTCGGAATCCACGTTGTCTCCTTCTTTATCCTGGTGTGCCGTCATGTGTCTCGTTAAATGATGTCGTTCCCGGAAACTCTCGTTACAAACGGGACATTTTAATTTATCCATTTCCCGTCGCCTCCTCAAATGATCCGAATTCGCGTGATCGTTTTTATGATGAGATCTCATGTGGTAAACTAAATCGGATGTCATGCGGAAGGAAACGTTGCATTTGGCACAGACATTTTGCGCCGGAAGAGTTAATGCGGCCAACGAAGGTGGCAACAGGGAAGCGTTTACAAAACTCGTCGGCAATATTGGACTCGCTCCGAACATGGGAGCCGGAATGAAATTTTGACGTGCGAGACCGACGGACACGGGACTTATTAAATTATTACCAATGAACAATGAAGATTGCTTATCAACGACAACGTCTTTTTGATAATTTTGAAATCTCGGCCTTTGATTTTCGACGGGTCCATATTGAAATATTTCTTTTTTAGGTTTGAGCACGTCCGGTCCCAGGAGCACCGTATTTAATTTTTTTTCCATAATGTTATTTTTATACGACGGTGACGGTGTTCGTACGGCGTCAATGGGTGACGGCGAACGTGACGATTCTCCAATTGTCGCAGCGGAAAATCCGACACCGACTTTTTTAAATGCACTTTTTATCGTATCGTTTTCGCATGTTTCGACATCTATTTCTTGTTGCGCATCGAATTTTTTCACTTCTTGTCTTTTCGACTTGTTTTGTTTGCCCTCATCGGGCGATATTAAAAATGCAACGTCGAAACTTCTTTTTTTAGGTATGCATGTGAGATTGTCGTCGATCGCGTTGTTGTTTGTTTTTCTTATTTCCGGACTACTACGAGATTCTTGTCCTCCTTCCTTATCCGGAATCGAATACGTCATTTGATTATTGTTTAATATGGACACAGATAATCCAATGTAAGGAGGAATGGCCATTATCATCTATGAAAATAAATTAAATTAATGATTCATTCTTATAAAAAAAAAGTAAACTTATTAACTGTATTTAATAATAATAATAATAATAATAATAAAATTTTTCCTTTTGTTTAATTATATATTAAATTATTTTTTCTTATACTTAATATCAAATTTATTAACATTGATAAGAAATCATCACTTAAAAATTTATTAAAAACGTAACGCGTTAAATACATTTCTTAATTATTTTAATAAATGCAAGAGTAATAAATAAATAAACTTACCTTAATAAAAATTATTTATTAATAATTAACGAAATTTATTATTATTTAAAATAAATTCATTTAAAAAAATCACGAATAAAAATTTTTTACATAAGTTTTTATTACAATCGAATTTAAATAAAATTATCGATAACATTTTCAATTTTTTAATGATAACACACGAATCGCAAAAAATAAATAAATAAATACAAAACTTATTAAGAAAAATTTTTCTTTAAAAATTAAAAACCGAAAAAAATTTTTTAAAACAAAAAAATTGTTTCTGGTTCGGAGAAAAGTTAAAGACTGAAGAGATTTTATATTTTGAAAATTGTTGTTCAAACTGGAAACAGAAAAGAGAAAGGAGAAGAAAAAAAAACAAACAAAAAAAAAGAGAGAGAAGAGAAGAGGAGAGAAGAAGGAAAAAAAAAAAATCCATAGAAGGAAAATAGGGAAAACAGAAAAAAAAAGAAAAAGGGGAAAACCCTATTGTCGAATCTCTGTAACAAGTGTTTTCATTCCACCCCTTATTGTAATTTTACATTATTTTTTTCATATTCACAACAAATCAACTTATAACCAAACAAACGAACGAACTAACGAAAGTTTTAACTAACGTAAGTTTTAACGCTTTTTTCCTACCCTTAATTTTGCACCTTAATAATTATTATTATTATTACGTAATTTTTTTTTTAAATGTCAAATTAACGTTATACGTGGTAATAAATTCGCCATATCGCGTTTTAATTTAAAATTCGCGGTAAAATAATATTAACGATGATGATGATGATGATTATGGGGGATGATAAAAAACGCTGTGAATATAAAAAATAAAAATAAAGTAAAATCAACATTGTTACCGTAAGGAATGTATGGTGAGCTAATAAAACTCCATTTCAATGGGCGGGTTGAAAGAGCAACCAATGAGGAAATTGTTTCCCCGGAAAACGTGCTTTTCCAGATACTTACAAAGAAGAGAAAAAAAAAAGAATTTTTTTTTCTTTCTCTCTTTCTCTTTCTCTGGCTGGATTTTAAATAAGTTTTTAAGTTAAAATATTTTGTTTTCTTCTTTCAATTCTATTCTTTTTTTTTTTTTTTTTTTTTTTTTTAATTAGAAAAACTTTCGTTTAATTATTTATTTTTATTTAAAAAAAAAAATTTAATTTTTCTCACGTTGTTATCGTAATATAAAATTTTATGATTATGTCAAAATTTGAAATTAAAATTAACGGTTTTTTTTAAATATAAAATAAAAATTTTCGAAAAAGTAAACGGAATTAATTCGATGATGGAATCGAACCGGAAACGATTTAAAATCTCTACTACATTTTGAAAAGTCCATCCGGAAATTGATATTACAATGGAAAAAAAAATTTTTTTTTATTAATTAAAAAAAGGGTAATAAAACGAAAAAAAAAGTTTTGTTGTAAAACAACAACATAAGCAAAACATTCATTAAAAAAGGAAACAGAATGAAATTAATGAAGGAGAAAAAAGATATAAACTGAAATAAAAAACATAATGAGGTTCAAATGAATCGAAGAGGGAGAGAGAGGGAGATAGAGATAAAAAAAAATGAGTTTTTTTTGCTATCGAGAATTGGCAAGAAAATTAAGCAAAGGTTGCAAAAGGTTTTTATGAAGGCAATAAAAAGGATAAAATGTCGGAGGATTTGGATAAGAGAGTAGTAAAAAAAAAAAAAAAAAAAAAAAAACAATAGTTAAATTCGTGAATTTAATCTCCGAGAGAAGAGAAAAAAAACTCACGAAAAGCTTCTTCATTGAAAAACGCATGCCAAGTGATTTTTTTTTTCTTTTTTTTTACGCCGCACACA